GTCTGGTAGCGCTATTGGAACCAGCGGGGACGAATTTAAAGCATGCACATGCTACATCCACAGCGGGACAGCGTTGGGCACATGCTGTAGCTGGTGGCCTCTATGGCGCCTCTTGGCCCCCTTACACCTGCTGATGTGGTTGCAGTTGGTTTTTTGTCATGAAATGGAATGTAGCGTTTGAAGTGATGTAAGCAATGACTCTCAACCTCCACTACTGAATCAAGTAAAATTAAGGAAGCACGCTATTCGATTTATAAATCCCTTACCTCTTCAACCGACTGAAACATACGTGCGGTGTCAAACATCGGCTCACATGTAGTGTCCAGTGTTCATCATTTATTGCACCCATACAACGATCGAAGTCCTGAAATTGTTCCTGGAGTATCCACAGAGATAAGCTATGTATAATGTCAGAAAACTCGTCCTACAAGGGATACAGACTCTTTTTTTTTTGAATTCCCACGGTCGCGCCCACGCAATGATCCGCGAGACTTGGGTACAAGAAACCACACTCGTTGAGATTCCTCACGAAAGCATTTTACGTTGAACCAAATCCTAACATTTGAATGAACGATGTTAAAAACCACCCCAATCCGCTAACGAAAGGGTCATGGTAACTTTTCAGTTCTCCAAGCCCCTTTTTCTGAAGGGTTTGTGAGGGTTGAATAGAGATAAGATACAATACAGTACTAAGATCCCCTTTTACAGGTGGGCCTTGATGCTGAGTTGCATCTGTGTCTGTACTCTGCTCACTTAGACCTTTCGGTCAGTCCCTGGTCAGGCGGCTTAATAATTTGTGTGGTAATTAGAGGCAAAAAACTTTACAAAATCCGAAAATGTCACTAATAATAGAAAATGACGTAATTGTAGGGTAAGTAGAGTCAAGTGGCCTCTTCTATTTTACTTATTGCTAGATCATTGTAGCTTCCTCCCCATAACCGCTACAACACTGGCAAAAGTTTGAAGCAATGTGAAAATGGAGCCAACCTCGAATGACTCGGTACTCGACTTATTCAAAGGTACGTCTTTGAAATTCTTGAACGACTCTAGCCGTGAATACCACTGCCTAAATAAGAACTATACTCAACTAGGAGCTGCGCAAGTCTACGAGTTCCCAATGTAATCGGCTTGTTCTACCCGATTTGGGGCAAGTTTCTTGTTAGTTACAACCCATGCATTTCGTTGCATACGATGCCACGCCTGTGACAAAAGAGATGACGATTTTGGCAGCTAGTTTAGGCAGACACAGGCAGGCAGGCAGACAGACAGGCAGATAGACAGACAGACAGACAGACAGACAGACAGACAGACAGACAGGCACGCAAACTCACGAATAATTCCTTAGTGGAGTTAATATACAAAGTAAAATATTATATTATCCTGGAATTCTAAGAAAGCTGAATCTGCTGACCTGTTCAAAGTTGATGCTAGCTCTGACATATCGATAGGGACTGGGTTTGGGACGGAATGATGGGAATGCCGTAGATGGTAGAAGTGTGCCTAAAAAAGTCTAGTTCAACATGCAACAATACAAACAATGCTGGTAGTGTAATGTACAGGAGGAGTAGCACTCACCTGCCTGCATGGGATCCTTGTTTGAACGTAGCCAAAGCGATGAATACCGGTTTCGTGCATGTTTACAGAGTCGACACGACCTCAAATGTGATTTTTAGGAATTCAATAGGTCAAACATTCTCCTTCGATTTTACCGTGACCCTATATTTTTACAGGTTTCCACTACATAATCCTGATGGAAAGCAAAAAGGTGGGAAAGCCCATGAATCCAGTCCTCATTGGCGTAAGCCCAAGTTGCTATGTGCAAGCATCGTAAAGGCAGCGAGTACAACCCATTTCACCCCGCTCCGCTGCGTCCAAAGTTGTTTGGCCCCCCCTCCCCGTCAGTGGGCATTCCAGACGGCTTTTGAGCCCATACTGTGATTTCCCAAACCTTTTCCGGTCTAATAATGCTACATGTTGCCCCCGTAGAATCAAAGTTTTGTCCTTGTAAAAGCACTGCAAAACCAGCTCCAGCTCTACTTTTGCCATCGGCCACCATGGCCCCTGTAAACTTACTGGCATTGACGACTACGCGTGTTTTCATTCGCCATACATTGCAGTTCATTTTGTGCTTTGATTCGGTGAGGAAATTGAAGTTGAAACTGGCAAGAGTCGTTGGAGAGTCCTGAATTCTTACAACTCCGATGACTAACATGGAGATGAAAAGTGTCGCATGTGGCTAAGGGTTAAATAATGGAATGTATTACCTGTACTACAGGTAGCTGGAATTGTACATCGCGGTGCTCAAATAGCAAAGATCCAGCCTGTGGATGCTCAGCGAACAGATTCTGAAATCTATGTGTTTCAATATTAACTGGATTCATAGTTGGGCGACGAGCGCACGCTGCCGCGTACGCGGCATTTGAAATGTCGCGCGAAAAATGACGGGTCTGGAAACTAATGACGTGGCTGGGTACGCATGCTGCTTGAATCAGGGAGACTCGTTCTGCCGCATAAACGGTTTCGCGCACATCGCGTGCGAAAAATTCGCGCTCTGACCGAACGGGCTTCCGGATTCGTGGGTTACATTATAATATCCAGTTAATTTCATGGATATGTGAGCGAACTCACCTTCAGTATCTCCACATTAACACCAGGCTTAATTTGCAGTGGATCAACTGGGAGTAGTAGATCGTCAATGTCAGAAAAGACTATCATATTTGCCCATGGCTTGGCGAAAAACAAGCAATTTACGTGCGATTCCTCGATGCCTGAAATATAATGACTGTATGAATGAGGCAAGGGGGTTACGGTAAAGGACGAGTTACTTCCTGTAAAGAGTGGCTAATTCGCTACAACTCAAAATGAGGTTGGTTAGTAACGGTGGGAAGGTACAGTCACTTCCAGGCGAGAAGGGACTGCCGACACTGCCTCCTCTCCTTCAATCACTACTACTTTTCCGTTTTTCCAAAATCAAACTATCCCACTTGAGAGCATCCGAAGCAAGGCATGTCAAGCGTTTGCTTCAACCTTATGGATCGTGAGCGGTATGGTCCAGTAAAGGAAAGAACATCGGTGAATCAGCAAAGCAGTATTACGGACGTAATAATATTCGGGAACAGGCTCGGAACCATCAGGTTCAAATGGAAAGGCAAGGAGTTCGTAGATCGAAATGTTCTCGAATGCCAATTTATTAGCTGATTTTCCAAGATACTCACCTCGACTCAATACCAGTCCATTTGGGTTCGAATCAGAGAGGACGGGCCACTTAGGCCATGTTCGGATGATGACGAGACCTGAAGACGGTTCCGTTTTCTTTGAAAGGATAGTTCCAGTCGTGTTATTCAGTTGGTTTATAAAACTGCTCGTGCTGCTAATAGGTTGTGCTTCGATCAGTAGGAGGGGGAGGTTGCTCACTTATTTGAAGGCACCGAGCTTTGAGCATTCTCCCCAAAACATTGAAATTTAGCACTACCTCTCCTTTCGTACTCCTGGAGAATTCTGTAGCTGGATGTCGAAGCAGACTGTACAGGAACGATAATTTTGGTGGCTCCCAGTGCGAGCCACGTCTCGATTCCAACAAGAAGTGTCTCCCAATCAGTATAGATATACATTGGTGCCATGCATACAACCAGGTCGTGACGGCTTTCCCTAGAAGGTGAGAACTATCCAGGGGTCTCATGAATCGTAGGTTAGTTGGACCTACCGTAATGGTTGTTCGAGTGTGACGATCATGGCGTCTTCAACATGTGGCGTAACGCCAATTCTGAAACCATCCAAGCTCTCAGTTTTTTTATTTATGGAGCTACTAATACAATTTTTCATTACTAAAGCTGATTTTTTATTGTATGGTAGTAAAGGCGCAAAGCTGTTACTGTAGCTTTGCTCGAGCTAGAACCATTCCATTTTCAAGCACATTCCCATTCCCTTTACAAACTAATTTGTAAAAACATAGGATGAAACAGAGGCTCATTCAGGAAGACCTTTTGCACTTTGTGGTATTGTATGGCTTGACATGAGCTTTAACTCTTGTCCTACCCCTCCTTTTTAGTCAGTTAGACTTGGTTGTGATTGTGAATATATTCGTTCGAGGGATTCCCTTACACTGCAATCGCGCTTGAAGGCACACTTCACAATATTTTCAATGTATCTAGCTTGAGTGGAAATTATGGCGCAGAATAACGCAAAAAAGGCAAGGGAGGCGCGAAAATTTGCCGGATTTGGAGAAATATAAAGTTTCTAAAAAGTAGTAAGAAATAGGGTTGCACGAGATTATAGGTCTCTGAGCGTCTGATTGTTTCTTACATCGGCGTACTATTCTTCGACGTCCTAACGCTTCCTTGTGAACGATGCAGCCTTCGCAAGGCCGTCATAATATGGCCACTTTGGGATGTCTACGTCGGCCAAGTCAATTTTGGAACCCTTATATGCCCTGTCGAAGTCGTTTTTTCATCATTTTTGTTTTTGGGGGATCACGGATACATCCGGGAGGAAAATATTAGAACCCCCCCCCCCCCCCCCCCCCCCCCCNCCCCCCCTCCATCCCATTAGGAAATGGGATTTTGGATCCAAATGCATGACAGGTGACAGCGTTTATGGAGCTACTTCCAACCAAATCAAAGGAACTAACTACAAGCGGAATTATTTTATTTCTGAGATATCAAAAACTTTCATTTAGCTCTCCCAAAGCAGGATCAAGGCAGATTCCATAAAATAACCGTAAAGAAAAAAGACTATTTGAGCAAACAAATTAAACGTTCCAGTAAAAAATCCGGAAAAAATCTTTTTTATTGGATATAGCGGCTGTACATTCTAGGGACTCTCACCTGAATTCCTTGAATGTATGTACTTCAAGTTCGCATTCTGCAATGTGCCCTGCCCACGAACAAATGTCGGAAGAGGCTCGTTTACCTCGATGAATACGTTGTACGGCAGCATGGGATACTGTAATGAACTAGGGTAGACTGTAGCTAGAACAGAGTCGCTCGACATACAGTAGCGCTCAGAAGTCTTCGGTGAAATGGTTCTTCAGCAGTACCTTTCAGTAGTAACTTCTTTCCTACTGGATCTAATCACGCAAAATTTCGATATGTGCAGCACGGATGTATTGCGAATATTTACAACTATTAAACTGCCATCTAGTCATGTTCCTGATATCCCAAAGAGCTTGAAATCAAAATCAACTGAAAATACAA